CCCCTCAGGGGATGTCTAACTGCAGCTGGCAGGTGGACATCCCCAAGGGGCCCCAGACTGTGAGAGGGCACAGGCTGGGCTGAGGGACCCTCCCCCCACCCCCGCAAGTGCACGAATATCATGCACCGGGCCTCCAGTTATTATTATAAACATTAGTAGTCGAGAGCCTGGAATCTACCTGCAGCACAGCCCCGCCTCCACAATCCCTGGGAAGGGAAGCAAGATGCCATCTCTGAGATTCAGGGCTCGTGGCCCCTCCCTGGGAGCGAAAGGTGGCCCCTGCACTCTGGGAGAGGCAGCCCGTCCTCTAAGCTGGAGCTCAATAACATGTAAGTTATTACCCACCTCTTGCTTAAAGAGCCAGGGGATTTCCAAGTCCCCAAAGCAATCAGGGGCTGCTGTGGGGCCGGGGCTGGTGCGCCAGCGAGAAACCGAAAGGAACAGCCTTGGGTGCTTCCCTCCCAGAGGAACTGTATGTCTGTATAGTAGCTCATGGGTACACACATCTCTATGTATCTACCTGTGTATGTATATACACACATACTTTTTCTTGTATGTAAAGGAGTCCACACTGATACCAGCAGAAACCAAACGGGCCTCCCCCCCTGGGATGGCCTCAGGGGCGCAGGTGGTGGGGCCAGGCAGGATCTGGGAGGGCCACACTGGGCTTCCGAAGCTTGCTGGCTGATGTTTAGGACTAAGTGTCCTTTATTTCCTCTCTTTGCAGTCTCTAGATATTTGGTCAAATTAGGGTACTAAGGAGGTGACAGAAGAAAGCAGGTGGCCTTTAAAGGGCCTGAAGAGCTAGGCCCTCGATCCTGAGCAAGTCACTGCCCCTCTCTGAGCCTCAACTGCTCACCTATTAAACGGTGCTATTAATGCCCGCCATAGGGCTATTGGGAGGAATAAATAAGAGTGTATCTAAAGCGTTTGGCACAGCACTTGGTCCATAATAGCTGGTTAATAAAGAGCAACTGCTCTCATCATTATTCTTTTTAAATGCTAGTCGATCTTGGCTGTCCTTAAAGGAACAAACAAGGTTTTATGGCCCATTCTTTGGTGGCGTTTGAAGCTGTAGGGGAAGGTGCACAGGAATAAGAGAGGCTGAAGGAATAAGTGCGGGAGGGGAGCCAGCCCCTACCGGGAGGGTGGGAGAGCTCCAGGTCCCAGGCTGCGCCCAGGGCGCACGCTGGGAGGTGCCTGCCCCCTCCGAGGAGCTCTCCTTCCCAGCAGGGGACTTGCCCTTTCCCTGGACCCGCAGGGCCCCAAGGAGCTCAGTGAGCGCTGGGAGGCAGGCAGAAGGCAGCACTTGCTCCCGGGAAAGCTCTGCAGGGCAGCAAGGAGTCTTGTTTACAAAGAAAGCCTGTTCTTGGCTCCACCGCCCACACACCAAGCCCCTTTATTCCACTCAATATGCCTAATTCTACTGAAAACTGCAGTGACAATACATGGAACTAATCAGTCCCGGATGCCCGAGTGGGTGTAGGCAGGCACTTGCATATCCCAGGGACCGTAGAGGGCAAAGGAAAATGCCGGCAGGGAACACGGAGTGCTTTCCTGGGGTGGACACTGGAGATGGAAATCCTCTACCGCAGGCGGGCGTTTTAGGAGCCAATAAAGCCTTCGATGGCCTGCAACTGAGAAGCAACGGACGTGGCCAGAAAACTTGTACGGGATACTTTTCCTCTGCCTTGTTTCAAAATGGAAATCACCTTACTGAAGCCGTTCGCATGATTATAAAATACTCTGTTCAGACACTGCGCAAGGACATAAAGAAGAGGGAGAATCTTCCATAATCTCCTCTCGGCCAGATCACCGCTGTTGACATGTGGGAAGAGGTTGGTAGATGCTTCTCTGCGCATTTTTATGTCCAGCCTCAGGACGAGGAATAAGGAGACTTCTCAAGCACAGCTGGTTTGTTTTCATCTTACAAATGTGTCTCCCCTGCTGCCCTCGTTGTGGTGGCTGTCAGGAAGCTCAGAGCCAACTGTGTCCTGCCTGTGGCTGGGTTTGCAATCCACATCGCAAGTGTTCTGGAAAGATTCTCACTCCGGCTTTATCTCTTCCCTCTGCCCCCTTGTTCTTCCTCCCAATCTGGAAACAGCCTAAGTGCCCATCAGTAGATGAATGGATTAGAAAACTGTGGTACTTCTACACGATGGAATACTATGCTGCTGTAAAAAAGAAGGAATTCTTACCATTTGCAACGGCATGGATGGAACTGGAGAGCATTATGCTAAGTGAAATAAGCCAGTCAATGAAGGAAAAATGCCACATGATCTCACTCATTCATTGATAATAAAGACCATTATAAACTTATGAACAATAATAGATACAGAGGCAGAGCTGCCTCAAACAGATTGCCAAACTGCAGCGGGAAGGCCGGGGAGGCAGGAGGGAGGGGGGTAAGAGATCAACCGAAGGACTTGTATGCATGCATATAAGCATAACCAATGGACATAAGACACTGGGGGGTAGGGGAGGCCAGGGGATTGTCAAGGGCGGGGGGAAAAAAAGGACACATATGTAATACCCTTTGTAATACTTTAAGCAATAAAAAAAAAAGAAACTGAAAAAAAAGTATCTTTACTCTGTGTTTTGAAACTACCTTCAAACTCTTTTTTTTGTAATTTGGGGGGGAATAAATGGAATTAAAACTGCATACAGGCTAAATGCAATGTGGTGTGCTGGATTATACTGTATTCTAGAACAAAAGTGGGAAAACTGAACTCTGCCTATGAAGTCTGGAGTCGGTTTAGCAGTATAGTACCAATAATGTCAGCTTCTCAGTCTTGGCAAATGCACCTGCTTACACAAGATGTTAATACCAGGGGAAGCTAGATGAAGGAAAAGGGGACCTGTCTTTCCAACTTTTCAGGAAATCTAAAATTATTTCAAAATAACAAATTTACTAAACACAATCTGCATACAGACTACTAGGAGACTGTTTCCTCTTGGAGACCCAACAAGGTACCATCTTAACTGGCTGAGAGCACAGCAAGCGCCCAGACCCAGGGCATTTCAGAACCAACTAGAACCAGCCAGCTGCTGTGGAGCACCTACTACCCACCCGCTGGCCTGGTTCCGAGCACAGTTCAGAACCAGGACCCCGATTCCCAAATGCCAGTCCTGGCTTTCCCTCTCACTAGCTGTGCAAACTCTGTCTCAGATGCTGTGCCTGTGAAATGGGCTAGCAAAAGAAGGCATTTAACAGCGGTGCTGGTGGCTTAAAACACTTGGGAAAGAACAGATTGTCCCAGTCAGTCCCAGCTGTATAACAAAGCAACTGGGTGGTTCAGAGCAACAGACATTTACTCCCTCTCCCCTCCCCGTTCTGGAGGCTGCAAGTCCGAGATCAGGGTGCCAACCTGGTCCGGTTCTGGTGAGAACTCTCTCCCAGGTGCAGACCACCAACTTCCCCTTATGTCCTCATAGTGGAGAGAGGGCTAGAGCGCTCTCTGGGTCCCCTTTTTTAAGGGCACTAATCCCATTCCTGAGGCTCCACCCTCGGGACCTAAGCACCTCCCAGAGGCCCCACCTCCTAGCACTACCAAACTGGGGGTGAGCACTCACACATATGAATTTGGGGAGCACACTAACGCTCAGTCCATATCTTAGACATTCGGTATTTAACCTGTTGTGAATGTCATTGTGAGTTCATGCCTCCTTTCATCCTTTCAGTGATCCTGAGGAAGACACGTTATTTGTTATGATTCCCTGGGAAAAGGACAGGAACCCGGAGAGGTGAAGGGATTCTCTAAGGTCATATAGCTATTAAAGCAAAAGCGAAATCTGGGGTTTGAATCCAATCTTCCTGGCTCCAAACACAGAGCTCTTCCCGCTACACTGTATTTCCTAAGACCGTGGTTGGCAAACCACGGTTCGCGAGCCACATGCGGCTCTTTGGCCCCTTGAGTGTGGCTCTTCCACAAAATACCACGTGTGGCACGCACGTACAGTGTGATTGAAACTTCATGGCCCATGTGCAGAAGTCGGTATTTTGTGGAAGAGCCGGTATTTTGTGGAAGAGCCACACTCAAGGGGCCAAAGAGCCGCATGTGGCTCGTGAGCCACGGTTTGCCGAGCCACAGTTTGCCGACCACTGTCCTAAGAGAAGCTGACACGACAGAGGCCTGTCTGTCTCCATAACAAAGGGCCTGAATGCCCCTGGGGGGAACCTGACGCTCTACATAGAGGAGAGGAAAGGTCGTGGGGGTCAGAGTGGTGTTCAGGGGATCCGCTGGCACCCTGCATTCAGGCCCTTTGTTATGGAGACACAGTCTCACCTCCTGCTGCGTTGAAATCAAGACTGCCTGGGCCCAAATCCTGCTCTGCATCCCATCGGCTGTGCGGCCTTGGGTTAGCCTGCTTAACCTCTCCATGCCTCGGTTTACCCAGCCGGAAACGTGGGTAAGAATGACGTACCCCACAGGATGGCAGGAAGGTTCCAGGAGATAACACCTGTGAAGTCAATTACGAATGCTGGGCACACAGTGAGCCCTCTTTGAGACGTGAATTAATAATATTTCAATAACTGCTGGTTGCCCTGGATCAAACGCCAGCCCCGACGCTGCCCCAGTACAACCCCAGCCCAGCTCGTGGCTCTCTCTCCTCTTCCCTCCCCAAGCACCATAATAAACTCTGAAGTCAGGGCCATCGCAGTCCATCAGCAGTGTTTGCAAAACAGCAGCCAGGAAGAGCCTGGCTGCCCGGTGCCCAGCACCACGTGGGAGGCACCCTGCGCTGAGGACAGTGGGAACTCGGGGCGTGGGAGATGGGACACAGCTCCTGCCGCTCGCTCTGAGCTGTGAATGGGAGGCATGCAGCCGGGCAAGGGCTCCGGCTGGGGCCAGTCCCGAAGGTGGATGCTGAATGCGCTGCTGGAAGTCTGACCGCAATCAGCCTCCGAGAGCTCCCCGCATGGCTCAGGTGGTCCCTCCCACCCCCACGACTGCAGCCCCGCACCTCACCCCCTCCCGAGAGAGTGGGGGGCCCCTCACCTTGAGCCCACTGCTTTCTGCTTCAGAGCCCGGGTCCACGCCCGTGACGTAGATGCCGAGGCCATACTCTGCTCCCCCGCGGATGGTGAGGCCCAGGGACCGGCCGTCCCCCAGCACCAGGTTCACCTGCAGCAGGGACAGGACACAGCATTGAGGGCCATGAACTTCGGGGGCCAGCGGGCTGCAGTCACTCCTAGTCCCTGAGGGGCACATGGATTCAGGTCTGGCTGAGGGGCCGGGGCAAGGGGAGGGCAAAAGCTCCGAATCTGGAATCTGGATAGTGCACAGCCCCTGGGGTCACGCAGGATTCTGTTTGTATGGAGCGCGGCAGGGAGGGAGAGGGAGGAACAAGACTAGCCTATGTGCGGGGCTGTGAGCGAGGCCACGCCTGGGCCTTACGCAGGGGAGAGAGGCTCAGACTGGGATTTTAGAAAGACTACTGGGGAGGGGAACAGGAGAGAAGGGAGAGGCAGGATCAGACCAGCGAGGCGGGCTGAGGACAGAGTGGGTAGTCCCCACCAGGAACCCCCACTTTGCCAGGTAGAGCAAACCCCCTCTTCCATATTGTGCCTTTAGGCCTGGAACCAGCCGAACTCAGCCCTGCTCACTGGGTGACCTGGGGTCTGTTCTCCTGCCCCCCCACATACCCCCAGCCCTCCCCCCCCTCACATGGTCCCTCCAGCTCCAGGACACAAAGATTCTGGGGAGAGCCCAGAGGAGCCCAGGAACACACAGATGGCAGGAGTCGCCCTCTGAATACTGAGGATGGAAACAAACCTCCCGCCTGCCCGCCACCTCCCCATAAATCCTTCACAGGGAATAAAATGGAGTCTTTATTACAGAACCGTAATAACAGTCCCATCAACCACACAGTAATCGGCCTCAATCACTTGCTGGAAATTCAGCTGGCGTTTGGTAGGAAACAAAATTCACAGATGGGAAAGGACAGTCAGGAGAGGCAGCCTGGCTCCATGAAAAGAAGGCCACGCCCACCAATAATAGGCACGTAGTAATAATAACTCACTAGATTAGCTGGGGACTAGATGTATTTCTAAATCCCAGGCACTTCACATGCATTAATTACCTCATTTCATCCCCTCTCCTCCTCTGCGGCTTTATTCTTATACCCATTTTCCAGATGAGAAAACTGAGGCTGGAGGATGAAAGGATGTGGCCACGGTCACAGCCAACAGCTGGCAGAGGCCAGGCATTTACGCGGAGCACCACACGGACTCCTAAAGGCCCGAGTTCAAATCCTGCTTCTGTCCTTTACCCCTGGGCAACGGTGGGGCAAGGCCCATCACGTCTCTGACCTTCAGTTTCCCCACCAGTGAAATCCTCGCACACAACCTACACGGAGCAGGCACCGCCATCCCCCCTCCTGCCTTGCCTAGAACCCCGACCCTGCCCAGGAAGCAATATGAGCAACCCCCGGAGATGACATCGATAAGCATTTGGGGGCAAAAATACATGAAAGGAACCTAGCGCCTTGCTGGCATTCGATCAGTCATGGTTGCCCCTGGAATGAATGACTGTCCCAGACACTGTGCTCTGTGCTTACACACACGACCAGTGACCCTGGAAAACAGTCCCACGTGGCTGCCGTGACCATCCCCAAATCCAGGAGCGGGAAGCCTCAGTGGCTCACCCAACGTCAAGGGACGCTCTCAAGGCCACACGGTCAGGAAGTTCTAAAACCAGGTGTGATATTGTGATTTGTAACAAGAAATATGTATATTTAGTCTTCAACCCCATTCCTAGCACTGAGCTCTGTTAACCCGTATAAATTCCTAAGTGGTAAGAGCAGTAGGAGCAACCTTTGTTCTAATGAGGTGACTCTGGGTGGGTTCCTGGATGGCCCCTGCCTGGGGCCTGGACACCAGAAAGACCAACCCATGATGAGGAGTCTGGAATTTTCACCTCCCACCCCCATTCTCCAGAAAGGGAGAGGGGCTGAAAGGGAGTTAACTGATCGGGCCTATGTGAGGAAGCCTCCACAAAGTCCCAATGGTAAGGGTGCGGGGGAACATGTGAACGTAAAGGGAGAGAGGCACATCTGGAGAGAGCACCGGAGCTCTGCGTCCCTCCCCACACCTCTCTTCCATCTGGATGTTCATCCGTATCTTTTATCCAGTCCTTTTACAACAAACTGGTAAACAGTAAGCAAACTGCTTTCCTGAGTTCTGTGAGTTGCTCTAGCAAATTAACAGAACCCAAGGAGGGAGTCATGTTATATCCTCTGTTAACCATTTGTACGTCATAAGCGCCTATAGACGCCAGCGGTGGACCTTTTTAAATTAAATTAAAAATATAGTAGCAGTTAACTGGTTAACTCTGCAAAGAACAGTGTACATATGGGTTTAATCAAACAGCAAATGTTCCCTGAGCTTCTAGCATGTACTGGCCAGTTGCCAAGGCGTTTTCGTCTTCATTCATTCATTCACTCCATACTTACTGAGGGCCTGTGCTGTGCGAGCCACTACCAGGGCACAGAACGGAGATCCTTACCGCCACGGAGCTGACCCAGTAGTGGGGAGAGTAGGCCCTGTTATTGTCTTCATTTTACAGAGGAGAGATTGAAGCCCAGAGAGGTTGTGTCACTTGTACAAGGTCACCCAGCTGGTAAGTGGGGGAGGCAGGATTTGAACCCAGGCAGCCTGGCTCCAGAGTCTTATCCTTTCTGCCACGTGGACACTAGCCTGTTTAACCCCCAGCAGCAATCCTGTCCTTGTTTACTGCAGCTGTAGAGGCTGAGGGTTAGCCCAGAATGGGACGCTGGAATAAGGAGCCCCTCTTCGCCTCTGAGGGCGTGACAGTGTCCCGAGAGCAGAGAGGTCTCATTTGCAGAGAGCTCCGTAAGTTCTTCCTCCCTGTGCCTCCCTGCCGCCTCACGATGGTGCTCACACTCCAGTGTGGAGAAGAGCATCACTGGGAGGGCTGAGAAAACAGATCCAACTTCAGAGGGCAGCTGAGAGTTTTCAAAGGCACTTTTGTTCCACGTGTGATTTTTATATCACGATTACCCTGAGCACTCATTTCCCTAGACCCGTGGTCGGCAAACTGTGGCTCGCGAGCCACATGCGCCTCTTTGGCCCCTTGAGTGTGGCTCTTCCTAAGCCTTAGGAGTACCCTAATTAAGTTAATAACAATGTACCTACCTATATAGTTTAAGTTTAAAAAATTTGGCTCTCAAAAGAAATTTCAATCATTGTACTGTTGATACTTGGCTCTGTTGACTAATGAGTTTGCCAACCACTGCCCTAGACGGTGCATCCCCACTGGGGCTGTATTAGGATTTCTGCAGTTGGGTGGGAAGTCCATCCAGGAGTCTGGTCACAGCTATTTAGAATATTAGATGAGACCAGGCCACTGGACAGAAGAGTCAGGCCCAGGAAGCCAGAGTGAAGGCTCCAGGGACATGTCCCCAGGGCCCTTCTCAACAAGGATGTGGGGGTTCCATGTTGTGTCAGCGAGAGCAGACACGAGGACAGGGCAGAAGCTGCTGTTGGGAGCTCTGAGGTCTGTGAAGGCCTCCTTGGGGTGGTCTAGGGCAGCAGTCGCCAACCTTTCAGACCTCACGGACCACCAGTTGGCGACCGCTGGTCTAGGGTCTCTGCTGCCTTCTGAAGTAGTGGGCCTCCAGGGAACACAGTTCTCTCAGCCTCTGTCTTCTGCATTCCTAGGTAAGTCACTCCTAGACACCCAGAGGTCACCTTCTCTCCTCCCAACCCTCCCATCCACTCACTTCCAGGGACAGGGTCCTTCTCGCCAAGCCTCGAGATGCCACGCTTGTTCCCACCTCAGGGCCTTTGCACGCGCTGTCCTTGCTGCCTGGGATTTTCAGCCCCGACGGCACATGGTGGCTTTTTCTTCCTCTCTCGGTCTCACTCAGGAACCATCTCCTCGGAGCGGCCCTACCTGACCACCTCATCCGGAGCAGTGCCTCCCTCCCCATCCCTCTCTATCCCCTCTCCTGATTTTACTTCTTCCATCTGTCTTCACCACTTTAATGCTCTTGCTAACTTATGTTCGTTTCTGGATTACTGTCTCACTCCTCCCAGGACCTCCTATTCCACTTCCCACAGCAGCCTCAGGCACACCAGGAGCTCACTAAGTACAGGGGGCCTCCTGCATGGGCCCTAGTTGCTGAATCTCCGACCCCTCATGTGTAAAATTCGGATAAGGATACCTGCCCTGCAGGGTGGTCTGTGGATTCAGTAAGATGCTGTAAGTACAGAGCCCAGCACCCAGCCAGCTCTCCACCAGCGAGAATTTCTACTCTAAGATTATGTCCTACCCCGAGGGACGGGGCTGGAGAAAAGGATAAAGCAAGTTCTCTGCCTAACCCTGGAAGGCCGGGCTTGGAAATGAGTCAAGGCCACAGGTACTGCTGCTTTCTCAAGACGGCCAGAGAGCAAGGTCGCCGGGGGAGGGGAGCACGGGGGCCGACCCCCACCCAGCCCTGCCTCCTCGGAAGAAGCCCAGGCGGATTCAGTGGTGCCTACCAGCTGGCTACCCACTGCCTCTCGCCTGGCACAGAGGCGGCTGCCATCTCTGTCTCGCCTGCAGATCGATGTTTGAGCACAAAGAACACAAAACATTAAATAAATGTTACGGTCTTATCGACAGGAAAGGAAAGCTGAGAATGTCTCCGGAGGGGAGGCTCTGTGGCCTCCAGGCTGCCAGAGTCAAAGTGCTGGAGGACCAGAGAGCTGCTTGCAGGTATGACATTCCTTGTCCCAGGATCGACTTGGGGGGGGGCGGGGTGCAAACAGCCCCCAGAGTAAAGTTTAAAACATCAGGGGGGCCATCTCTCAGTCCTTTCCACAGTATTTTAAGAACCAGTCGTGCCTGGGGAGAGGCGGGCCCTGTAGGGGGCGTCTGTTGATGCCCCTGTCCCTCTCCTACAGGTTACCACATCCTGGGGGGGGGGGCTTTGGACAACATCCCCTCCCCCACCAGCGACCGTTTTGGTGGTTCTGTCAATCAAACTGCCCAGCCCTCCCCACCAGCCAATCGGTGCACCTCCCTGGAGTATGACAGTTGAGGGGAAGGAGGCAGAGACCTGCAAGGGAGGAGATCCCTTTCTTCTGGAGGCGGCACCCCAGTTCCTCGGCTTCAGTTCTGGGCCTGCCACACCTGCCAGCGAGCTCTTACTCTGTGGAGGTGACCAGGACCCGTTTCTGTTCCTTACAACCCAGACCGGCCCCGCCACCGCCTCCCTCTGGAGCCCGCAGTCCTGGCAGCAAGCGTGGCTAAGCGCCTGGGTCAGAGCTGCTGAGCAGTCCAGTCATTTCTAGTTTAAAGGGAAGCTCTGAGCTTCGTCCTAGACAGGATGTTAGCGGAGGGAACCGGGCCCCAGAATAAGATGTGGGACAGAGCTGCCCGCCAGCCTACACTGTCCCCTCCGTTTCGCTGTGACAAGGAGAGATACCTGACCTTATTTAAGTCACAGGCTCTTTGCTGCAGCACCTTGGTCTGCATTGTAACAGCCTGCACAGGCCAAAAAGAAAGAACGGAACCCCGACAGGACCAAGCCCTCCTTCCAGCCTCTAAAAAGCTTCCCTGTTCTGGGCTTAGCCAGAAGAATGGTCTCAGGGGCTAGCCTCCCTCACAGCGTGCCCCCCACCCCACCACACACACACACACTCCCCGCCTCAGGTCAGCCTGCCCAGGCCAGGCGGGGCAGCTCACCTTTTTCTCATCCCCGCCTTGCAGCAGGTGCAGGGTGCTCCTCCGGTCACCCTCGCGCGGCCTCAGGGCACCGCTGTGGGGCCGGGGCAGGCTGGCGGGCGGGGAGATGCTGCGGCCCTGCGGGTCCACCCAGGTGTAGATGTGGTTGGTGACGTAGCCCCCGGGGATGCGGCCTGCCGAGTACACCGACATCACCAGCTTCTTGGAGCCCTTGAGCGCCTAGAGAGAGAGCAGAGAGAGGGATACAGTGTTAGCAGGAAGGGGCAGTGAGGGACAGCTGCCCATTCCCCAGCACTTGCTTCCTCTCGGGACCCATTCACGGAGAAGGCCAGTCCCTAAATGCCTTTTCTTTTCCAGGCCTCGGTTCTGTCCTATGGAAACCAGGACATCTGTCCCACCCTTATCTTGAAGTGGTTCAAACACAAGAGAGATGGTCTCAGCATAACAGAGCAGGCCTGGGCCTGCACCCACAGGGAGGCCTGCCTGGCCGGCACCTGAGAGCTTGCATTCGGAGTGTTCCCACCGTTCCCGACCTGACGAGGGCTCGCTGTGTGCAGCCTACCTGTGCAAACCATGCGGTTCATGCTGACCACTTGCTTTCCTTCCAGAGATCTGGAATGTGGGTACAGGCAGAGGGTACCTATGTGACCAGCCCCCAACAAAAACCCTTGGCACTGCCCTAGCCAGTTTGGCTCCGTGGATAGAGTGTCGGCCCGTGGACTGAAGGGTCCCGGGTTCAATACCTCGGTTGCAGGCTTGATCCTCGGCCCAGGTCAGGGCATGTGTGGGAAGCAACCAATCAATGTGTTTCTCTCACATCAATGTTTCTCTCTCTGTCTCTCCCCCTCCCTTCCACTTTCTCTAAAAATCAATGGAAAAAATATCCTGGGGTGAGGATTAACAAACAAAACAAACAAAAAACCCCAAACCCTTGGCACTGAGTCTCCCTGGCAGACAGCATCTCATCCCTGTGGCACAGTTCAGTGGTGGGGGAGGAAGCTCGACCCGTGGGACAGCGTGGGGGGGAGGGGGGGGACTCAGTGCAGCCTCTGCCGCGCCCCTGCTCCCTGCGCTCATTTTGCTGTGCGTCCTTGCAGCGGACAAATATTCACCCCGAGGACAACTGTATGCTGAACCTGCGAGCCCTTCTAGTGTCACAGAACTCGGGGTGGTCTCAGCGACCCCGATAAAATACCAGACAAGACAGTCAAGAGAGAAAAACACTGATAATAGCGATAGCGGAAGGTTTGCAAAGGGCCTGTGCGTGTCAGGCGGTCTGCCCCCGGCATGCCTCGTCTCCTGAACTCCTCACGGAATCCCATCTTGTGGGGAAGGGGGTCCCATGATTCTGGTGAATAATTAGAGGGACATCGTCTGTCCACACAGCTAATAAGGGGCTCCTACCCAGAGCAACGAATCTTGAGACAGCACCTTCATTCTATATGTTCCAGTCTGGAGACAGACCAACCACAGGGAGAGGGAGGGAAGCCAGGCCCTGCGCCCTGGGTGGAAGCTGCGATCGGCCATGCTGCTTCCTCGTAATGCACCTGAAACGAAGTGGGTTTCCCCCCAGAAAAGGGCCTTCAGCACCGGGATCAACAGCAAACACCCCTCAGAACTGGGGACCATTTGAGTAAAGGATGGTCCATACACACATGACAGTTCATGCTGCCGCTAAAGTCACATTTTAAAACCATTACAAAACTTTGTAATGACAAGGATATGGGACCTAGTTCAACGTTAAGTGGGGTCAGAAGGACATAAGTCAAGCCTCACAGAACGATCTCAGTTCTGGTAAAGGAAAAACCCCACGGGGGAAAAAAATAAAACTAAACTGAGGAGCCATGTGCTGAGATGCCCGCAGTGCTGCTCTCCGGGGGCCGGGCTATGGGTGATTGTTATTCTGTTCTTCCTGTTTCTCAGTATTTTCCAACTGCTCCAGAATGAGGGTATGTTGCTTCCAGAAAGCAACACTATGTCTCAAAGGGGGAGGGCAGTACTTTGCTGTCTGGTCCTCCCCACTTGCCCGAATCCAGAGCATACATTATTCTGACTCCCCAATACTCTTGGCGGCCAAATGCAGCCACGGGCAGAGCTGTCAAGGGCAGTGGGGAGCCCTGGCGGACCAGGCCCTGCCCGAGGACACTCTGTCCTGACGTGAGCAGGGAGGCGCCGGGTCCCTCACTCCCACAGCTAAATGCTACTCCCCAGGAGAGGGAGAAGGAGAGGGAAAATTCTGCTTTTACCGAAGGATTTCTGAGCAGATGAGCAGGGGAAGATCTACAGTGGTCTTTTAGCATTCCCCGGGCTCCCAGACAGAACGGCTGGGAAAATAAAAACCTGTTAAAGTTTGAGATGCAGGATAGAGGAAGCGGGAGACCAAGTGGGCTTCTGCTGGAGCAAAGAGGGAGGTGGGTCTCAGGGCACATGGAGCCTCAGCAGAAACCTCCGAGGCCACCGAGCCCTCCGCACAGTCTTCCTGCCCCTCCTCCCTGCCCACTGCTCCCTCCTCCGTGAGGGCACTGCTGGCTGCTCAGTGCAGTTCCCACTGGCCTGCCTCTTCTCTGCTTCTTTCCTGGGCAGAGTCTGAGCCCCATCATTCATTCGATGAGGGCTGATGGAGGGCCTACTGTGTGCCAGGCCGGGAGAGAACAAAGTGGGCAGATGCTCATGGCACTTAACGCCTGGTGAGAGACAAGGCTTCCCCTGGTGCTCACAGTAGGTGCTCATACCTTCCACAGTAGGTGCTCATAAAAGCCTGGTTGACCTGATGAGGTGAGAAAGTACATATATGATCCCAAAAGTAACCCCAACATCCACAGGCATCACCCCGCAGCTACGCGTTTGATCTGGAAGGCTGCACTAGAATTAGAGGCGTGTAGGTGGAGAGAACACAGATGTGGATTCCGGCGTAACTGGATGTAATGGCTTCTGTCACTTGTTAGTATAGAGTCCTAGTGCCAGCCACCCCCCTCTCTCAAAGCAGCCCACGTGAAAGGAGGACAACAGCCACTTCTCGGGGTCGTGTGGATTAAACAAGACCACATATATAATTACATATTGTTTTTGTGATTAGTCACTATGCTTTCATTATGTTCAATTTGTAACAATGAAAATACATCCTGCATATCAGCTATTTACATTACGATTCATAACAGTAGTAACATTACAGTTATGAAGTAGCAACGAAAATAATTTTATGGTTGGGGGTCACCACAACATGAGGAACTGTATTAAAGGGTCGCGGCATTAGGAAGGTTGAGAACCACTGATCTAAGGAGTTAAAAGAAGGTGGGGGGGAGAATGAAGCCAACGAGTAGAGCATGATTTGTATTCTGTATTGCCGGCAGTAGTGGAATTCTCTTGGTCAGTTTTATAAATAGGCAGGCAATGACCTTGAGAACGAGAGGAGGTTAATGCCTCTGATGAGAATGCCACAGGCGGCTGGCGCCGGAGAGGGCCTGGGAGGTCACCGCGGCTCCCACAAGCTGCCCACCCCTGGTAGTTTACGGAAGGGGACCCTGGAAACCCGAAATGGGAAGGACAGAGAGGGTACAGCGAGGAGAGGCACGGTCCTGAGCCAGTCCCTTCCCCTCTGCACCTCAAGCCTATGGGACCCGAAAATGTGATGGTCACTCCAACTTGGACCATTCCGGAACCTCTGCTCTTGGCTGTGGACGGGTAAGTGTGGGCTTCCAGTGGGTCTTGAAGAGCAAGAATATCAACATCCATCACCACTGTCGCTATTTTTCTGGTGAAACTGAAGAAAATGAGGCTCCTGGGACAGGCTCTGAGAACCCTGTGGAAGGGCTCCACTCCCTCTAAAAGGTGGGTGTCATGCGAGGAGGTGGGGATGGTCTAAGAAGTGGGTTTATCCTTCTTATTCCCCTCTTGTCTCCAGGTGTACAAACAACCGCTCGCTTATTTTAAAGGGTGGCACTGAACGAAGGAGCTAATTCCCAAAAAGAGCTGGCCGATGCATTCTCCCCAGATCACCCCCCCCCCTCCGCACCCACCCATGGCCCCTTCGTCCCTGAGGCTCAGGCCATCTGGGCATCGTGCAGTCCTCACTCACCGCCAGGGGCACCACGCCATTCGCGTCTCAGGAGGACTAGCAGCTTCTCTCACCAGGGCGAGCTGGGCAGCCAGCAGCCTCAGGCAGCAGGGCACCCAGGAAGAACTCTGGCTGAGACACAGCGACGCCGCAGGCATGCCCCCGTGGCGCCACTGGCTCGCAGGGTGACCTAGGCCACGGCCTCCTCTCGCTGGGACTCGGTTTTGTCAACTGGCCCTGAGCAGGCTGGACTCACCGAATGCTGAGGTCCTGCCCCAAGTTCAACCCCACTATCTTCTGGTTCATGACTGCACTTAGAAGGAAAGGCAGTCTAGACCCGCAGGGTGGTCATGGGTCATGGTAGCGAAGAGATCAGGGGCATGTGCAGGGACAGACTCCAGGCCTGAGCGCTGCACCTGGGGGACACGTCGGGGTTCCCCGTTTAAGGAGTGAGCCCTCAGACCGTGGCGCCTAGGTGGCTACAGGGTCTTTCAACCAGATTTTGAATCCGGGGGCTCTGGGCTCCATTACCAGGGCCTCGGGCTACTGTGGCCAGCGCCAGCAACAACGTCAGACCATTTTACACGTGGGAAACTGAGGCCCAGAGAAACCAGGGCTAAACCAGAAGGGCGGATGGAGCACGCCAGGTGTGGCAGGAAGCACACCCCAACGCAGCACCACGTCAGCGGTGGAGGCCCCTGTAGGGACCTGAGGCTGGGGAGACGCCCCTGCAATGGGACTATGCTGAGGGCCCTGCCCTTCGTTGGCAGCTGCTGCCTACGGCTGGTGAACCACCCGCCTTACAGCTCCGCCTGTGCAGGCTGCTGACTCTCGGTCACCCGTGCCCTCTCCCGCTGCGGCAACCTGCGGAACCAGCCAGGCCCCTGACCCCACTGCCTGTTAGCAGTGCCCCCTCCCGCAAGCTGCCCACCTTTCGGTTTCTCCTCTGTAAGGTGAAGGCCATAATGCCACTCTCTCTTTAGTAGAGGCGCCCTGCTAGCACAGGGCCTCTCACTTGAGAAGTCGATGAGCAGTGGTTAAAAAGAGAAAACGTAAGCTTTGGAGAATCCACGGCAGGCAGAGGGTCACCAGAGCGCCGTGCTCTCGTGCGTTTTATCACGTGTTTCATGGTGAAACTCGACCTAGGGACTTGCGGGCATCCCAA